ATAGGACTCGCATCACTGCACCAGAAAGGTCCCGTACAAAAACACTGATCAGAAGAGGAAGAGCTACAGAGGAGCTTCAGGACTGTGAAAACCTCCTGGTAGGGAAAATTTGTCTGCCTTGGACTAGGCAGGCTGCCCTTTGCAGGAAGGGAAGCTAGGACAAATGCTACAATGTACAAAGCCATCAGGCATCTCAACAGTGAATGAGCACATTAGTGAAATACCAGAGCAACCAAATCATAATTTCATGGAGTCTGTGTTCCCAACCAAACAGGGAGAGCCATCGAATGGAAAGGCATGCTCCTAGAAACAGAGGTAATCAGCGGGATTTGTCTCAGAGGACACCCAATCTCAAGCAAGCTTATCATTGTACATTTGTGGGTATATACTGGGGCCTATTTGTGAGGGCTAAGAGCGGGCAACTGCTCCATCTGAACACAGGTGTCTACTATGAAAGTGGGGAGCACCGCTCAGTCACCATAAGTTGTGAACTCCTCAGAGAAGAAGGCCTAAATTAGTGTCACATGCAGCATTCTAGCTATGCTTCTAAAATCCTAGTCAGGTGTTCTTTCTATTGCTTATCCATTGCATACATGTCAGTATAGGAGGAAGATGCAACAGATGAGGTCACAACCAAGATGCAAACACACACACACACATGTGCACACACGCACACACAGCAATCGTGTGGAGGGATGGAAAATAATATGCCCTCCCATCAGGTCTTTGGGAGGCATTATTCAGAACTACAGGACTACAGTGTGGTTAAAGGGTTTGAGTTAATTGCTCACAGAAGAAACTGTCATGTGAAACTGTGAGTTTGAGTCAGGCTGTCGGAGAAAGTTGTGAGATGAGCCACGCTCCTACCCTTCATCTAGTCTTCATACGGAGAGGTGACAGTCATCAACTGAGATCATTCCTGAGATTCCCAGAAGTCTGGAAGATGAACCTAATCTTACTTTTATAACCTTTATAAAGGGCAAAATGTTACTTTTCGATTAAAAATAGTTTTTGGAAGGCGCTACCATGATCAAAAGATTTAATTACTTAAGGTTGATAACGACACCAAAGCAGTCAGTGGTGGGTGAGTCCATTGTGTCTCTGCATGGGTTATAGTTTGGGGGCCATGGTTTCTATTTTTCTGAATCTCAAAAATATCAAACAAAATGTCAAAAATGAGCCTTGCTGTCTTCAATCATTTTTTAAACACATCTTTGGGACCCAAATGTCAAAGATTTAAGACTCACTGTGGATCACAGGAACCCAGACAAGAGACAGCAAGTTGTCAGCGATCACAGAGATCACAGAGTAATGAGCTGCACCTGCTCTCCAGCCGACCTGTCCCTGTGGATCAGTACCACCAAACGGCACAAGAGAGCAGACAGCAGAAGGAAGGAAACCTGGTTCACTGCATGTTGCTATTTTAGTTTCACACTGTGATCCGTGGTTGCTTGAGTCTGTTTTGATGTAAACATATGCACACTTCTTGTTTTCTTTTGTTTTGTTTATGCTTGAATAGGTATAGTCAGGATTGCTCCTGTAGTCCAGTAGGCTGGCCTTGAACTGGTGATGCTCCGATCTGTGTTAGCCTTTCTGCAACATAGAAATAGAATCCTTTGGGACTCCAGGTATGCGCCACCATGCTGGGGCCCATATCTCTTTATGTTAAACTGCCACCACCCTATTCCCACTTTTGCCTTTTCCCTAGTGCCTACTATACCTCTGAAGTCAGTTCACTTTTTCTTGTTTGTTCTCTACTTCCCTGTGCAGCAGGGGTCCATAGCTCACTGTGCACACCTGTGCTTACAGTCAGGCCTCGGGCTGGGAGGCAAAGGGCTTGTCTTGCAAGCAGGAGATCTGAGTCTGATCCCTATAACCCAGAGAGGAAAGCTAGGTGTGGACGAGAGAGACAGCTCATTAGGTAAAAGTGCTGGCCGAGCAGGCCTGAGCCTCAGGTTCCATCTCAGGAACCCAGAGAAAGGCAGGATTGAGGTACTGTGCCCTGTGAGCCCAGTAGTCATCTGGTAGGTGTGGCAGAGGCAGAAGTATCACTTCTGCTCTTTATAGCCAGCTGGACTGGATACAGAGTGGCAGAAAACAGACTGCTCCACCAGGGCAGACTGTGAGAATGAACTTCAGAGAGTTGTCCTGTGGCTGTGTCAAGTTATCCTGTCTTTTCTAAGATCATGTTTAGAATAACGAGCCTCCGTGAAGACTTCTGAATTCCTAACTGGATAATTTACAAATGAAAAATTCAGCAAGAAAATGCCCTAATCTGAAGGGGGTTGGTGCCATGAACTCCGTGGTGACGTCAGGGGTAGGGAGGGGCAATGGTTGGGTTCATAGCTGATGACAACACTCTTCTAAACTGATTGCATACATCACTTTTAAATTGATTGTACCTATTAACTCAATAAATTTAGCGTTCTAGCCTACTAAATTTAGAGTTCGTTGAGAATTTCACACAATTGATCATATTCATTCCAACTCCTCCCTTGAACTCCTCTCAGATCTATCCACCTCCTAATCCCCCCAAGTTTGTGATCTTTTATCATTTAAAATGTAATCAACTCCAATGTACGTGTTGGTTGTTGACCTCCCAGGAGCTACACCACTAAAGAAAATTGGCTCGCCTTCCCTCAGAAGCTTTTCTCAGCTGCAGCAGCTCATGAGGCAGCTGTCATTCCTGCTCCTGTAAGTAACCGCAGTTAAGCTCACTGGTTCACTAAGTGGGACTTTGGAGGTAGCCGTACTTTGGTCTGTCCTGGGTTCGCTATCTGGGATGAGTAGATGAGCGGTGTGTTTTATCTCCCCAGGAAAAGTTTTGTCATATGACACAGACTTCCAATGATGAACAGTCCCGCCAAAGCCCACCTTGGGGACCAGTGACTTTATTGGGCTTACTTATTAAGCATGAGGAAGGGGTTAGTTACAGGAGCGTGGGTGACCCAAAAGCAGCTGACCATCAGAAAGGTCTTACCCCAATACAAATGATGATTTACCCAACCTTCCACACTCTGTAATCTAGCATCTCTACTGGGACAGAGCCAAGTGCAGGGAGGGCAAAATTCCATGGAAACGGTAGGAGATGCAGAGGGAAGGCCTGAATCTCATCCTTTCAATCCCCTTCTTCGGAGGACAGTCAACAGCCTGATCTCCTGCGCACGTCACAGCTATTCTGATGACTGACAGCTGTCACGTTAATCCTCACCTTCTGTAACACATTCTCTTCTGCACCCCTGCCACTGTACTTGAGCCAGCCACCTGCCTACCCCTGGCCAAGACCCCTGCACTTGGCTACCTCTCTCCAAATCATTTCTCAACCCAACCAAGCCGGAGGAGAGCACCTTGGCTCCCCACAGCTCTTCTTCCGCACTCCACTTGCTGAAACAGTTTACTCCCTTGTGGGAGGGATTAGCCACTCTAAGGCTTGAATCAAGACACACCCATAAATTACAATGCTCCAACTGTTTGCTCTTTCTAAATTCCTGAGCAGGACATTTGCACATGAAAAGTTCACTAGAGCTGGTGTGTTCTAACAGAGGCTTGCGGGAGACTAATCCTGGGGTGGTGTCTCAGTAGGGCAGTCCAACTGTGTGGTTGTATGCCTCCCTTTTTATAGCATAGGGACTTGCACTTCTATTATCAGAGCTTTGGGACCGGAACGGAAGTGCTGGTAGGAAAGGCATTTCAGAAAGAACAATAGACAAGACTTGTCCTAAGCCTCAAAGATATGAAGAAGAGAAACCGCCTCACTCTTTGGGTGTGATTACTTAAAATCGGCGTTTTCTGGAAGGCAATCAATTTCCTGGAAGACATAGTTCAGTTTAGAATCCTTGTCCTCATCCCTATTCAGCGATGGGAAGGCATACTAAGCAAGCATTAATGAATCCATCACGTGTCTAGCAAGCGGTGCTGTTCAACCCCCAATAAGAAAGGCTGGATTATGCGGTTCCTTTACTCAACAACTGATGAGTACGGCCCTCCCAGCCCTAGCCAAAACAGTGCAATTTAGGGGCAAGATTTGGATGCAGAATGCCTGGTTTACCACAGCCTAAGGCCAAACAACACGGGGAAGTCCTCAGAAAGTGGCAATCATTCATTACGTGGCAAACTGGCCTTATGTTAGGCCTTACATCACAGAAAAATTTTGGAATAGCGATATTTACTCCCTGGTTTGTTGCTCCCTCAAGACTCGGACAATGCCAGGAGACCAAACCAAGAGAGCTGAAAGCTTTTAGAATTCAGCCGACATCAACAGGTAACGTCCTCAGGTGGAAAAAACAACCAACCAACCAACAAACGTTGAAGGAGATACAAGGCAAGGCCTACAGCCCGGGCGCTCAGAGGAGCCTGGTAGAGAGAGCCATGAAAATGTTGGAGAAATTTCAGTGACTGGGGACTCACGTTGGGAATTGACCCTAAACCTCGGATCGGCACACCTGGAGGCCACTTAAGCTCCCCTGAGGTCGCCATCGATCAGAGAACCACTCTCAACCAATCTCTTAACCCAACACCTTCTTCCTGGCTCTCCCCACCAGAGGGAGTAGTGGGCCCCAGGGGCAACCGCGGCCTCAGTGTCCCGGCCAACTGCTAGAAAGCGGGCAGATTTTCAGAGAGCGTGGGTCGGGAAAAAAAATCCAGTCCGGGTTTTGACTGAACGGGGGGCCGGGAAGGCTGCGAGGACCGGAGCAGGGGGCGGGCGGCGGCGAAGACACCACACAAACAGCTCGCGCCCAGGACGCCTCGGTAGGCCCCGAGCGCGCGGGCGGGCGCAGGGCCCGGAGAGGCGCGCGCCGGTCGGGCCGCCGGCCGCATGGAGCGCAGCGCGGCCCGCGGCTCCCGGGCGCTGCAGGCGGAGGCACTGGCGGCGGCAGCGGCGCGCTCGCTCACACCCACCCCCGCCCGCGGCCGGCGCGCCGCCTCGCCGTAGCCGCCGGCGTCCCCGCGGGCCGGGCCAGCGAAGGCGGCGCCCGCGCGTCCTCCAGCCAGCGGCCGCGGCCAGCCCCGGAGGCGGCCCCGCAGCGCCGCAGCCGCGCGTTCCCCGGGCCCGAGCAGCCGCCGCAGCCGCCGCAGGCGCGAGGAGCCCGGCGCCCCGGGCCGCAGCCCGGCGTAGGCATGCAGGCGAGGCGCCTGGCCAAGCGCCCCAGCCTGGGCAGCCGCCGCGGGGGCGCTGCGCCCGCTCCCGCCTCCGAGGCCGCCGCGCTGGGGCTCCCGCCCCCCGGCCCCAGCCCCGCTGCCGCCGCCGCACCGGGAAGCTGGAGGCCGCCGCTCCCGCCGCCGCGCGGGACCGGTCCCTCGCGCGCCGCCGCCGCCGCCTCGTCGCCGGTCCTGCTGCTGCTGGGCGAGGAGGACGAGGACGAGGAGGGCGCGGGCCGGAGGCGCAGGGCGCGCGGGCGGCTGGCCGAGAAGCCCCGAGGGGGCGCGGAGGAGGACGACGACGACGAGGAAGAGGACGAAGAGGTGGTCGTCGAGGTGGTGGACGGCGACGAGGACGACGAGGACGCGGAGGAGCGCTTCGGGCCCCTCGGACCCGGCCGTGCGCTTCCCAAGGGCCCGGCCCGGGGAGCGGCGAAGGTGCGTGCCGGGGGCGCCGCGGGCTCTCGGGGCAGCCGGGCGCCGGGGAGCGAGCGAGGGAGGGAGGGAGGCCGAGCGGCGCTGTGCGGCGCGGGCCGGGAGGGGTGTGTCTGGCGGCCGTGGGCAGCGCGCGGAACTGCGGCTCGGCGGAGCCCTGGCGGCCTGGCGTTGCTCAGAGGCCGGGCGGGTTCGTGGTCCCGCGTTCCTGTGGGAGAAGAACGCTTCTCCCGGGCACGGTGGGGAACTTGGGAGCGGGACGAGGTAGGAGAGGATCGCCCCTGATCGGCCCGGCGTTGACATTTTTATTTTGCTTTGGGGACGCAGGAGTGTTTCCCTTGTTTAAGCTTCTGGAAACTACCAAGCAGCCTGCTCCACCTCCCTCCACCTGAGAGAGCAGTTGTTGATCCGTTTCCATCACAGGCACTTGTGAAGGAATCGTGAGCCTGTGCAGCAATGACCAGGACCTTGGTTCCCGCGTGTTTTTTGCTGGTGTCCCCCTCCCTCCCCGCGCTTTTCCTCGCCTTCCTTAAACTGGACGTCCTAAACATTTTTGTGTCTGCCCCCTCCCCGCTCACAAGGTTACAGCTGAGGGAAGAGGAAAGCGAGAAAGGTGGTGGTGGTGTGGTGACGTTCACAGTGATTGCCAGTTTCAAATGCTCGCCAAGTCCCCATCCGCGCTAAAGCACCGAGCGATCTTTCCGTTTTTGTATCTTCAGGAGATAAAGGGTTTATTATTACACAACTGACTGGCTGAGGTTCCATGCACGCTATTGGACAAAGCAAACTGCGTTGAGGTTCATGCACCGTGTATGTTGCTAAGAAGTTTTGAGGGCAGCAAGTGGCAAACAAGGGAGAGTTGTTTCTCTCCAGATAGCAGAATAGCGCAAAATTCTTGGGAGTTTTCAGAAGAAAATGCATAATAAACAAGTTGATAGAGATTATTGTTTTTAAAATCTCCTTGTATCCGCTCTCAAAAGTGGCTGGAAGCTTGAACTTATATTTACAATGAAAAGTTCAACAGCGGTTAGGGCAGCCCCGCAATAGATGTGGGAATGTGTTTCTTTTCTAGGCCACCCTGAAGTACGACTGCCTGGCTCCCAGTGTGAGAAGATTTGAGCAAATGGTCATTTGGGTGATAGTTTTTGACAGCTGCCTGCTGGAATCCGGAGTGCCCACACTCATTACTTGGCCTGCTGAAAAGCCTGCTTTGTGTGGCAACAGGATATAGCTGGGTTTCAATTAAGTTCCATAGCATCAGTGACACCGAATAAGACAGACTCCTTAGCGGTTTTGCTCAGACACACTCAATGTGTCAGGGGGTTTGAACAGTGATTACACAAATTGAGATGGAAAAATTAATAAGTTATGCTCTGTGATCCAAGCAGGCCCCATGTAGAAAAGAAGCCTGTTCTTTAAACCCAGAATAGGGTGTAATCGTTAGCATTAGCAGAAAAAATTTTTCACATATCCAAATGAATTCAAATTCTTTCAAATTTCTAACACATTGCTTTGCTCACAAGTTTTATAGCACATTGCTAACAACTTCTGAGAAGTTACATGTTGAATATGCCGCGGTATAATTTATCTTCTTTCATCACTTTAGCCCTATCCTGATACTGCATCTGAAGAGATTTTTTTTAATGGAACATAACAAATTCATTTGCATTTCTGTGTATCCATGTGCTCATTTGTTTGACAAATATTTACCGAGCACCCCCTTTGTGCCAGGTGCTACTGTGGAACACAGCAGGGTATGATTTTATCATGCTTGCACATGTGTGCAGTCAGCCAACGTGTGATCATGACACCTAGGATTTGTGCTGTAGCAACTTCAGCCTTCCTGAGGGGAGCCGGTGACCATGCCAGAGCTGGTTTAAGCAAAGAGATGGGGCTTGATTCCTAACTGGTTTCATAGATCTCCCCTCCTTTCCCATCTTAGCAAGTCTAGCAGGTTATCAGTGCACAGATATTTATGACCTGTACTTTAAACATATTACAATTATATTTGTGTATGTAGCGTGCACGTTTGCAGTGGTATGCGTAGGGAAATCAGAGGGCAGCTTTGTATGGAGTCCTTCCTTCCCACCCACCTTTCTGCTTTCCAGAGCTCAAACTCAGGTTGTCATGCTTGCACGGCAAATGTCCCCACCCTCTGGACATCTCAACTAGTTTTACTTACGACTTACAGGAAAATACCTCTAAGACTTCTGTTTCCTCCTTCCTTCTTAAGAACCACGTTTGTCTGATTTAGGAGCTGTCGCAGAAAATTGCTCTGGAGCCGGTGGGTGGAAATTTACTATGGCTGTGTATTGCAGTGAGTACCGGAGTGCGGGAAGGCAGCCAGTGGCGGGATGGCAGGCAAGCAGTTTGAAACAGCCTGGTTCTTCTGCCCACTACATCCTCCTTACGGATGTAAATCAAGTGCACTGAGTGCCTGAGCTGATCCTGCCTGGAGCTTGGTTCATGACTGAGGAAACCGAAGCAAGGGAGTGGGGGATGGGAAAAAGACAAGGATTGCCTGGCAGACCTGGGGTAACTGGGAGGGAAATGGTGCTAATTTTCTTTAGATTCTAGAAAGAAAAGAGAAGGCTTCGGGTGGGGGAGCAACACCCTTCTTGGGAGGGGACATATGATCTTTAAGCAGAGACGTGTTGTGCAGGATCCTCCAAGATCCTAGACCAGGAAGTAGCTGTTGTAACTCTCAGGTGAGAAGCTGGAACTTGGCAGGAAGGAGGTCCCTGTCCGAGGCAGGCCTGGGCCAGTATAGGGAAAGGAGGCCCTTTAAAGATACAGTGTGGTGTCACTGGGAGGTTTCATCAGGAAGAGCTCTCCAGGTGGCTGGTAGGGGGAGGATGGAGAGCAGTGAGGTGCTGTTGCTCACACAACCCTCGGAGACTGAGTGCTCCTTGGCATTAGCGGCCGGCGGGAGTGGGCTGAAGACAGTGGACCAATTCAGGGTCCCTTGTGAAGCTCATCCTGCCAGAGTGTTTGATGGCCTGGGTGAAGGACGCAAAGGAAGAGAGGAATGAACTCCTGGCATAGGATGCTGTGAGCCCTTTGCTGAGACTGGGAGAACTGCAGGCCGGAGGGCTCTGTTAGGACAGATGAAGAGTGAGGTGATGGGAGGCTTGGAGGGGGAGGTTGCAGGCAGGCTGGTGTGCTTAGGATGAGGATCTGAGGGGGAGGCCTGGGCTAGAAAGGGAATTTGAAAATCAGCAGCCTGTTGATGTCAGAGGTCTTACGGGCCGGGCTTTGGATGCAGCACCACTTCAGTGGGTTCTAGGAGAAGCTGGTGGAGGTGGTCGAAGCAGTATCAGATGTGTAGAAAATGTAATGTTTAGAAACCAAGAGAAGAAATCGCTTCAAAAACCGAGGGACAAGTAGTAAGATGTTGAATAAATACAAAGAGACATTCCTTTGTGCTGGAACTTGGTGCTGTTTTTTTTTAAAGGTTCATTCTTAAGTGTCTGGATGCTATGCCTGCATGTCTGTGTGTGCACCGTGTGTGTGCAGTGCTATGGAGCCCAGAAGAGGGTGTCATCTCCCTGAACTGGAGTTAGATGGCTGTGAGCCCTCATGTGGGTACAGGAATTGAAGCGAGGATTTCTGAAAGAGCTGCCAGTGCCCCTAACCACTGAGCCATATCCCAGCCCCCACCTGTTATTCCTGATAGAAGTTTGTGTTATAGTCAGCTGTACTGAGCCTTGACGGCAAGGCGAGGCTGTTAGGGTATGTGTATAGAACTCTCGGGAGTAAGAAAGGTCTATTTTGTTTCTTACAGGTGAGGTGAAGTGAGCTCAGGACTAGTGATGAGAATGCTGGGCCTTGTCTGAAAGACAGCACACCTGGTGGTTTTCTGTTGCTTTGAAACTTTGTTCCAGATTACCATACTTTTAACCCTCCTTGGACATAGCCAAGTCTTCCATGAGTTAGGACTCCAGTTTCAGCCTGAATTTTACCTGTTGCTAAGTCTCACAAAGCCACAGATTAGATGGGCTGATTTCTCATTCGGAGTTTGGCCAAGAAAGAATTCCCTGCTAGGTGCAGAATGAAGGGGCGGAATTCATTTCTCTGAATGAGAAAGACGGAGGGCCCCAGCTTCTTGCTGACTGCACCTAAGTGCTTCATCTTTCCTGGAGCTCTTATTCCTCCAGTGTCTCCTCTACAGCTGTTTCATGTAGGCCTCCTCAGGATTGCCCCTTGTTTTATCAAACAAGCAAGGAGCCACCAGCAGGGTTATCTTCCATGGGCAGACATCAACTCCCTGTCTTTGCCACATTGTCTTGGTTGGAAACAAGTTAACAGGTTGTGCCTAGTCTAAAAGGCAGAGATTATCCAAGTAGGTGGAGATGTGAGGATCACCGGCATCATCCCTGGGAAGTAAGAAAGGAAACTGGAGCGGAGGGAGTGGGGGTGTCACTGCAAAGGGAAAGCACCTGGAAAACTGTAGAGGGAGGACCTGGAACTCAGATGGAAGAAAACTGCCCTTTGAACTCTTCAGTGAACTGGAAAGGCAGAGACGGTGGAGGACTAGCTGGGGTCCAGTTTTTATATGAATGATGATGGTCAGGTGACTAGCGCATGCCGAGAGCCTCTGTCCTCCCAGTGCAGAGAGCGGGAGCCATGAGAGTGACCTGAGGGCATTACGAGCTGGAGATGTGTCTAGGAGAGCAGGAAAGTTGCCAGACTCCATAGAGAGCCCATCTGGGGTTTGCGGTTCCCTGTGTTTATAGAGCAAGAAGCTTGCCTGGGCGTGTGGTTTCCCCAACTCCATGCTCTGGCCTCCTGCACAGAATGATAATCATAAAAGCAATCCCAGCGAACACATATGGAGTGACTCACGTGGCCAGTGCAATTGCTTTCCCCTTCACCAGGCACCATAGCCAGCATGAGTGAGAGGCAGGGCAGGTGGGACTGTTACTTTTACAGAAGGGACAAACCGCTAAGACGCAGGGCTCGACTGGAGCCCTGAGCAGTCTTCTGTCAGCTGCCCCTGTGGA